AATTCTTGTTTCTTCCTTTGAGTTTTTTTTTCTTCTCCTTTCCTATTTTCCCGCCCTCACATCCCCAACTTACATGAAACCAAGTACTTTAGGTGAATTAGGATTTTGAGGTCTGGGACATCTGAATAGTATATTACAGTTGTGTTGTATATTCTTGTTTTTCCTTCCAATTTTTACTATTTTAACATTTTTGTTTTTCTTAATATATATCTGGGGTTTTTAAATTTTTTTTTATACCTTTGTTTTATTTATTTTTATGTGGTGCTGAGGATCGAACCCAGGGCCTTGCACACACTAGGCAAGCGCTCTACCACCCAGCCACAACCCCAGCTTATCTGTTTGTTTTATGTACTCTACTGTTTTCCCACTTACTTGTCTACCCAAAATTACTTCCTCTCTATTCTGCTACTAACCTTCTTCTTTAGATTTCTCTTCCACATTTCCTAAGATATAACAATTCTATATCTTTACCTTCTACCTCCTCAGCATATCATCCTACACCTCACCCCTAGTTCTTTGTTTACCATCAGAAACTATAAACCCTTTACAAACCTACCGATTGTATTATAGATAATAATTGAATTCATCATTTCTGTACATTGTGACCAAACTGTAAATGTCTTAATAGCAACTAATTGTTTTTAAGGCTGTATATTGTTTGTATTGGGATCTGTTAACATTGTCCTTCCCCTCAAAGGAGAGGTATTAGAACCCTACAGAAACACTATAAACCTATAGGATAAAAACAAAAACACCTCGGATCCACAGTACTAGAAGGGAAGAAACACAAGCAACATGAAAAGACAAGGAAGGAAAGTGCCCCAAACAAATCAAGATAATACATTATTAGAATCCATGGCCAGCACATCAGAAGAAATTACAGAGGAGGAGTTCAGGATGTACATAATTAAAATATTCTGTGAATTAAAGGATGATATCAGCGAGCAAATACAGGCAGCAAAAGATCATTTTGACAAAGAGCTACATAAACAAATACAGGAAGCAAAAATTACTTCCATAGGGAGATAGAGGTTCTGGAAAAAAATCCTTGAAATAAAAGAAACAATAAATCAAATTAAAAGTTCTATTGAAAGCATCACCATCAGAATAGACCACTTGGAAGACAGGACATCAGACAATGAGGACAAAATATATAATCTCAAAAATAATGTAGACCACACAGGGAAAATGGTAAGAAACCAGGAGCAGAACATTTAAGATATATGGGATAGCATAAAAAGACCAAATTTAAGAGTTATTGGAATAGAGGAAGGCATAGAGGTCCAAATCAAAGGAATGAACAATGAAATAATATCAGAAAATTTTCCAAACATGAAGAATAGATTGGAAAACCAGATTCAAGAGGCTACAGAACACCAAATGTATAAAATCACAACAGATCCACACCAAGACACATTATAATGAAAATGCTCAACATACAGAATACAGAGAATATTAAAAGCCACAAGAGAAAGGAATCAGATTACATATAGGGGGAAAACAATTAGGTTACATGCAGATGTTTTAAACCAGACCATGAAAGCTAGAAGATCGTAGAACAACATCTATCAGGCTCTGAAAGAAAATGGATGCCAACCAAGAATCTCATATCCAGCAAAAGTAAGCTTTAGATTTGATGATGAAATAAAAAACCTTTCATGATAAACAAAAGTTAAAAGAATTTCCAACTAGAAAGCCTGCACTACAGAACATCCTCAGCAAAATATTCCATGGAGAGGAATTGAAAAACAACAATGAAAATCAGCGAGGGAGGTATTAAACTAAAGGAAGAACTAATCAAAGGAGAAACCATGTCAAGTTAAATAGCAAAAATAAACAAAAATGACTGGGAATACAAATCATGTCTCAATAATAACCCTGGTGTTAATGGCCTAAACTCACCAATCAAAAGACATAGGCTAGCAGATTGGATCAAAAAAAAAAGACCCAACAATATACTGCCTCCAGAAGACTCATCTCATAGGAAGAGACATCCACAGACTGAAGGTGAAAGGTTGAGAAAAATCATACCACTCATATGGACTGCAGAAGCAAGTAGGGATTTCCATCCTCTTATCAAATAAAGTAGACTTCAAGCTAAAGTTAATCAAAAGGCATAAAGAAGAACATTTCATATTGCTCAAGGGAACCATATACCAACAAGACTTAACAGTTATAAATATATATGCCTCAAACAATGGAGCATCTATGTTCATCAAACAAATTCTTCTCAAGTTCAAGAGTCAAGTAGACCACAACACAATTATTTTGGGTGACTTTAACACACCTCTTTCACCACTGGATAGATCTTCCAAACAAAAGCTGAACAAAGAAACTATAGAACTCAATAATACAATCAATAACTTAGACTTAACTGACATATATAGAATATTTCATCCTTCAATGAGTGAGTATACTTTCTTGTCAGCAGCACATAGATCCTTCTCTAAAATAGACCATATATCATGCCACAAAGCATCTCTTAGCAAATATAAAAATGTAGAGATACTACCCTGCATTCTATCAGATCATAATGGAAAGAAATTAGAAATCAATGATAAAATTTTTTTAAAAGCTACTCTAATACCTAGAGACTAAATAATATGCTACTGAATGAACAATGAGTTGCAAAAGACATCTAGGAGGAGATTAAAAATTCTTAGAGGTGAATGAGAACACAAATAAAATGTATTGAAATCTCTGGGACACTATGAAGGCAGTGCTAAGAGGAAAGCTTATTGCATGGAGTTCATTTCTTAAAAGAAGAAAAAGTCAACAAATAGATGACCTAACTACATCTCAAAGCCCTAGGAAAAAGAACAAATCAACACAAAAAGCAATAGAAGACAGGAAATAATTAAAATTAGAGCTGAAGTCAATGAAATTGAAAAAATTGACAAAGCAAAAAGTTAGTTCTTTGAAAAAATAAATAAAGTTGACAACCCTTAGCCATGCTAATGAAGAAAAGGAGAGAGAAAACTCAAATTACTAACATATGTGATGAAAAAGGTAATGTCACAGCAGACACTACAGAAATACAGACGGTAATTAGAAATTATTTTGAAAATTTGTACTCCAATAAAATAGAAAATATCAAAGACATTGACAAATTTCTAGAGTCATATGATTTCCCCAAATTGAATCAGAATGATATACACAATTTAAACAGATCACTTTCAAGCAATGAAAGAGAAAATATCATCAGAAGCCTACCAACCAAGAAAAGCCCAGCACCAGATGGATACACAACCAAATTCTACAAGACCTTTAAAGAAGAACTAATACCAGTACTCTTCAATTTATTTTAGGACATAGAAAAATTTCAGGAAATAGAAAAAGGGGGAGCACTTCCAAACTCATTCTGTGAGGCCAATATCATCCTGATTCCTTCCAAAGGCAGGCAAAGACATTGAAAGAAAGAGAACTTCAGACCCATATCTCTAATGAACATAGATGCAAAAATTCTGGCAAATTGAATACAGAAACATACCAAAAAGATAGTAGATCATGATCAAATGGGATTCATTCCAGGGATGCAAGGTTGGTTCAACATATGGAAATCAATAAACGTAATTCATTACATCAATAGACTTAAAGATAAGAATCATACGATCATCTCAATAGATGCAGAAAAAGCATTCAATAAGATACAGCACCCTTTCATGTTCAAAACACTAGAAAAACCAGGGATAATAGGACTACATCTCAATATTATAAAAGCTATCTATGCTAAGCCCCAGGCCAACATCATTCTAAATGGAGAAAAGTTGAAAGCATTCCCTCTAAAAACTGGAACAAGACAGGAATGCCTTCTCTCACCATTTCTATTTAACATAATTCTTGAAACACTGGCCAGAGCAACTAGATGAAGGAAATCAAAGGTATACAGATAAGAAAAGAAGAATCAAACTAGCACTATTTGCTGATGATATGATTCTATACCTAGAGAAATTCCACCAGAAAACTTCTAGAATTAGTAAATGAATTCAGCAAAGTAGCAGGGTACAAAATCAACACCCATAAATCCAAAGAGTTTTCTGTACATCAGTGACAAATCCTCCGAAAAGGAAATGAGGAAAATTACCCATTTACAATAGCCTCCAAAAAAATAAAATACTTGGGAATCAACCTAATGAAAGAGGTGAAAGATCTCTAAAAACCACAGAATGCTAAAGAAAGAAATTAAAGAAGACAAAACCAAGAATCAATAAATGGGATGGATTCAAACTAAAAAGCTTCTTCTCAGCAAAAGAAACAATTAGTGAACTGAATAGAGAGCCTACATCTTGGGAGCAAATTTTTACCACTTGCACATCAGATAGAGCACTAATCTCTAGGATATATAAAGAACTCAAAAAGCTAAACAAAAAAATAACTCAATCGATAAATGGACCAAGGACCTAAACAGACACTTCTCAGAAGAGGATATACAGTCAACAAATATATGAAAAAATGCTCATCATCTCTAGCAATTAGAGAAATGCAAATCAAAACTACACTAAAATTTTATCTCACTCCTGTCAGAATGGCAGCTATTATGAAAACAAACAACAATAAGTTTTGTAAAAAAGATTATTAAGAAAGGGGATTAGATCATTTAACATTTATTTTTCCAAAGTATTTGAGATGTTCAAATGAAAACTAATGGACGTTTCCAGTGAAGATTCATGAAAGAATGAATATCTGTGGCTGTAAAAAATATACTTGAGGGGCTGGTGTTGTGGCTCAGCGGTAGAGCGCTCGCCTAGCACGGGCGGGACCCGGTTATCACCTCAGCACCACATAAAAATAAAAGGCATTGTGTTGTGTCCATCTACACCTAAAAAATAAAAATATTATATATATATATATATATATGTGTGTGTGTGTGTGTGTGTGTGTGTGTGTGTGTGTGTGTGTGTGTGTATTTGAGTATATTTGGGTTTTTTTTCAGGTATTTTATATTTTAAAGTAATTTTAAAATACCAAGAATCATAACAATTATATGTTTTTCTAATTAGGATCCAGTATATGGAAAAGGAAAACTTGGAGAAATCCAGGGTCTTATTCTGGGAATGTTAGATACCTTTAACTATGAACAAGTAAGTAAATCACTTTCTATTATCTGAGTATGCCCTAAGGTATAAAAAAAGCTATTTTTATAATTTTCTTTTTTTCTCCTTTGCCTCCATATTTTTTCTTTAAAAATTGCCATCTCTTTACTGAAAGTAAGGTAAATTGAGATAAGTGTACCTTTTTCATCACATATGTTAGTAATTTGAGTTTTCTCTCTCCTTTTCTTCATTAGCATGGCTAAGGGTTGCCAACTTTATTTATTTTTTCAAAGAACTAACTTTTTGCTTTGTCAGTTTTTTCAATTGTTTCAATTTCATTGATTTCAGCTCTAATTTTAATTATTTCCTGTCTTCTATTGCTTTTTTGTGTTGATTAAGGTAGAACAAAAGCTATTTTTATAATTTTCTTTTTTTTTCCTCCTTTGCCTCCATTTTTTTCCTTAAAAAATTGCCATCTCTTTACTGAAAGTAAGGTAAATCAAGATAAGTGTATATTTTCCCCCTATTTTTAAATTTCTCTTGACCTTAATTTACATGTATATACTTATTCTAAAATATGGAAATGCATCTAATTCAGAATTGTTTTTGATTGATTGACAGACTAATACCTACCTTTTAAAATGAAATTACAAAAATCTTTCTGGAAAAATAATTGGTGATAAAGCTATAACTCATGAAAAGGATGGTCAGTGTGTGTGTGTGTGTGTGTGTGTGTGTGTGTGTGTGTATATATATATAAATGCAAAATAAAATTAAATTAAATGAGTTATTTTTAATATTTTGAAACACATCATTGCCACTAGCCAAAAATGGTCATTAGTCTTCCCTTAACTTTCAATTTCTTGTAGCTTTAATTCTCAGTTAAGAACCAGCTTGGTGGACATGTATTTTTCTTAGGAAAAGTTCCATTTAGGTATGTTACAGCTTTTTTTTTCCCCCCTAAGAATATGAGAGAGAAGCAAAAGAATAATTTGGGAGATAGAGTTTTTCTTAGATGTTGTAAAACTTGCAGCTTTGCTAGGCATAAGCCAGTGAAGTTTGATACCCCTGTAGGCACAGAGACCAGGGTAGCAGAAGAAAAGTAAAGTAAAGCTGAGTACAAGGTGGAAAATTTTTGCCAATTGCAGAGCTATAGAAGAAGAGAAAATGATGGCATTGATTGGAAAGAACTAGGATAGTTAGGTAATTAAAACTAAAAGTTTTATATTGCAATTTAAAAAGCTAAGTTTTATAGCAAGGAGGGCGGACAGTACCTAGTTCCATCTTCCACTTTGGGTTGACAAAAAAGAATCCAGCTGAGTAAAATTCCATTGTGTATATATGCCACATTTTTTTTTATCCATTCATCCACTGAAAGGCATCTGGATTGGCTCCACAGTTTAGCTATTGTGAGTTGTGCTGTAAACATTGATGTGTCTGTGTCCCTGTAGTATGCTGTTTTTAAGTCCTTTGGGTATAATCCAAGGAGAGGGATAGCTGAGTCAAATGGTGGTTCCATTCCCAGATTTCCAAGGAATCTCCATACTGTTTTCCAAATTTGCTTCACCAATTTGCAGTCCCACCAGCAGTGTATGAGTGTACCTTTTTCCCCACATCCTTACCAACACTTATTGTTGTTTGTCTTCATAATAGCTGCCATTCTGACTGGAGTGAGGTGTATCTTCGAGTAGTTTTGATTTGCATTTCTCTGGTTGCTACAGATGATGAGCAGTATAAAGATATAAATTGGCATGAACATACTTTATATACAAAAATATGAAAAATTTGCTCTGTATGTGTAATAAGAATTGTAATGCATTCCACTTTTGTGTATTTAAAAAAAATAAAATCAATAAACAAAAAAAATCCAGCTGTATATCCAAATGATAAAAAATGAATGTTGAGAATTAGTTTAGTATGGAAACAATACTTTATAAGCACAAGAGCCTTAAGATGACTTAATGTGAGAATTCTTTATGTAACTTACTGACAATGTCAGAGTCTTTTGAGTGGATCACAATGATTTATGAGTGCTGATCAGGAAAATGTGATCCCTGCCCAAGGGAGATGAAAACTGAGTAATGACCATTAGCTTTCTCAGCGAAAGGTTATTTGAAACATTGCTGTGAATGCAATTTCGATAAAAAAACAGCAATCCAGACTGTTCTTTGTTACAATAGCCTGAGCTATCAAGACAGAAGTTATTATATAAATGTAATAAAGAGATTTGAGCTTATCTAGTTGTTTGAAAGCCATCAATTAAATTAAACTGAATTAAACCACAGAATGGCAGAATACACATTTCTCAGTAGGAATTAGTGACAGACTTGAGCCTTGTTATACTGCACATTAACTACTTGAGTTTTGGGGGTTTTGATGTTTGTCTCATCAATTTTATCCTTCCAGTTTCAGTTGTTTGTAGTTGAAAACTAAACAAGTTCTATTCTCCATTCTTCTCTACCTTTCATTTGATAACCTTGTTTGTTTTTTGTTTTGGTCTTTCATAGACCCTGCTTGAAACAACAACCAGCCTTCTAAACCAAGATCTCCACTGGTCATTGTGTAACCTGAGAGCTTCTGTCACTAGAGGATTGAATCCCAAACAGGATTATTGCTCTATATGTTTGCAACAGTATAAGAGACGCCAAGAAATGGCTGATGAAATTATTGTCTTTAGGTAAGAGAAAGGATTACTGTCTGGTGTGTGTACATGTGTGGTATAGCCAGGCAGGAATTCATGTGTCACTCAGGCAGTGAACAGGACAGGCAAAGTTCTTGTCCTCACAGACCTTGTTTATGTTCTGCATGGGAGTGGGGCGAGGTAGAAGTTAGGGTGCTCAGACAGTAAATAAATACCAAGCAATGAAGAAAAATGAAACACGAGGCAGGGGGATGGAAAGAAGAAGTGTTCTGGTTAAGAGTTCTGTCTTAAGAAAGCACAGTGAAGAGAGGCATCTCTTAAGGTTACATTGGAGCAGAATGAGAGGTAGGAGTGAAGGTGCTGAGAGGTAGGAGTGAAGGTGCTGAGGGGTGTTTGAATTCAGGACATATTTTAAGGGCAGGGCTAACATGCTGGTGTATTTGATATGGGGTATGGGGAGAAAATGAGGTCTTTAGCCTTAGTAACTGGGTGAATATGGTACCCTTGCCTGAGACAGGAGGAACAAGTATAAGGAAGTGGGGAAATCCAGCATTTGACCTTATAGATGTTAGGTTTGATATGACCCTTTGACATCCATGTAGAATTGTCCGATAGACAGATTCTAGTCATAAATCAGAAGACATGTTGGGCTAGTAATACAAATTTAGGAATCATTAGCATGTAAATGATATTTAAGCCACAATACAAAGAAAGAAGAAGTCTAGTGCAGAAGTGCAGGGGTTAGTCTCAGGAGCAAAAACAGTTCATCTAAAATACATGAATAGAGACAACATAATGTGGATTCTGGAGCCAAACTTCTTAAGTTTAAATCCTGACTATGCCAACCAAATACGAGCTATGATCCTTTAACAAATTAATTAATCTTTTTGTATATTGGTTTTCTTATCAATTGAGATGGTAATAATACCTACATCTGAGGGCTTTGGAAAATTAAATGAGAAAATTATATAAGGTGCTATGAACAGTTCCTTGCATGAGTAAGTACTATATCAGTGTTAGCTATGTAGGAGGATTGGTAGATTTGGAGGTTAGAAGAGAAAATAGCACCTCACAAAGAACCCATTCATTCAACATATTTATTGAGCACCTACTATATAGCAGGTACAGTTCAAGGGAATAGGGGACAGCATGAAGAAAGCAAAAGAACTGCCCTTAAGAAGTTTGTGTTCTAGTAGCAGGGGCAGATAAAAACAAATAAGTGAAATCCCAGATGGTGGTAACTACTATGGAAAAAAGTAAAACAAATTGAGGGACAAGATGATTCAAGGTTTCTTCAGGGACAAGAGGATACAAGATGTGGACATTTTGTGGAGTGGTCAGGGAATGCCTCGTGTCTCACTGTTAAAGTAACTTAAAAACATATAATTTAGAAAAATTATTAAAAATTTGATTAATAATTATATTAATAAAAATAAAACTTAGTATAGAGGAAAGATTATTGGGAAGTATTTCTAATTTATAAAGACTAGTCAGGAAAAGCCTTGCTGTCTAGTGACATTTAGAGACCTAAGGAAGTAACCATGGAACTTCGGGGGAGAGTATCCCCAGCAGAGAGGACCAATGAGTGTGGAGACTGTGAGACAGCATCATTGCTGGCACACTTGAGTGGTAGTGAGTGAGTAGGCTCTGGACTTGAGCAGAAGAAAGGAATGAGAGGATGACAAAAGAGGACTTCAAAGGAGAAGCAGAGGCCGTATCTGGGTTATTATGAGAAGTAGGCTTCTCTGAGATGAGAACCCACTGGGTGGGTTTGTTGGATTGGATTGTTTTGGTTTTTGTTTGTTTTTTGTACCAGAGATTGAACCCAGGGGTGCTTTACCACTGAGCCATATCCCCAGCCCTTTTTAAATTTTTTTTAAATTTTGAGACAGGGTCTCACTAAGATGCTTAGGGCCCCACTAAGTTGCTGAGGCTGGCTTTAAACTTGCAATCCTCCTGCCTCAGCCTCCTGAGCCATTAGGATTACAGGTGTGTGCCACCATGCCCAGCTCACTGGGTGGTTTTGAGGATAGGTCTTCTGGGTCAGTTTGATTTCTGTGTTGAGAAGGAGCTATAGAAAGTCAAGAGGGAATGCAGGGGGACTAGTCATGCATTTGCGATAGTCCATGTGGGAGAAGGATGGCAATAACAAAAAGTTCAGAAGTGGGAGGATTCTGGACATGTTGTGAAGGTAGAGCTGATAGAATTTGCTTATAAATTAAATGTGTAGTGTGAAACAAAGAATAGATCACTCCAAACTTCTTGGCCTGAAAAACTGCAAGAATGTAAGTTGGATGAAAGTATTCAGTGGAGATGGAGTAAGGTGGAAATCAGGATTTTGGTTTTGAACATGTTAAATTTAAGATAGCATTAGACATCCAAAACAGAGTTCTTGAGGAGTCAGACAGGTAGGGTTTAGGGAAGAGGTCTGAGCTGAAGGCATAAATGTGGTAGTCATGAACTTCTAGGTGATATTTTAAAGTTTTGGAACTAGAAGTAATCACTATAGGAGCAATAGTAGGTGGGGTAAGGAAGAGTGTACAGGAAACAGGTTATATATGTTTTTTTTTTTTTTAAGTGTAGAGAAGAGAAAGAGTGTAAAGACTACAGAAGAGAAAAGGATTGACTTCTGGGATAGTTCAACATTTCAGGTTGGAGAAAGGCCAAGGATGATTGAGAGGCATAATCAGTGCTCACCTTCCAAAAGCCCTTTTGGTACTAAAAGTTCTTTTGGAACGCCTTCATAGAAATACTGCAAGCAGTGAGTTTTTTTGTCAGTGTTTTATCTAATCTTAACTCTTATCTTGAGTTCAGTGAGACAGACCACTCATGGTGTTATCAAGCTACTTGTGTCATTATGATTTTTTCTGCTTGTCCTTTTTTAACCTGAAAATACGGTCAGAATTTCATAGTTTAAGAAATGAACAGAAGTTCAGCTTATCCTCCATGAGAACTATGATTCTATTCCTACTCACTTAAGGATACAGATATGTTTGTTAGGATTTTTAAAAAGAGAGGACAACAGTGAATACATTTCTTTTCCTATTTCTTGTCCTGTACCAGCATCAGTACATTCCAGATTGTTAGAGCCTTTATTGTATATAAGTACACTCTGTCATACTTTATGGACTTATGACAATGGAAAGTGTGAGTTGGTTACCTTCATTTTGCAGCTGTGGCCATTTGTATCATTCATTCTGTCTACAAAACAAAGAATGCACCATCGAAATTGAGGGCCAAACACGATGGACGTGCTACAAATGCAACTCAAGTAAACAAGTAGGAAAACCAAGTGAGAATTCATCTGAAATTAAAAAGGGAAGGATAACCCCATCACAGGTAAGACTCGTTTCAGTGGCAAGGTGCACATGGTCTTTTCTTGCCAATGTCTTTTGGTCCTGGGCTCATTTTCTTCTGGCTCCATATCACTCTCAACAGATTTACCTGACTGTCCTCTGTTAAGTCCTATTTAGTGTTTGAAGGACCTCTCCTCTCTGCTCAGTTCCAAAAACCAAGAAGACATGTTCTCCTTTTAAAAACCTTGAAATGAGCTGAACAGAGAGGATATACACATGAGTGTACTTTTAAGAACCTTTGACAGAGTAAGAGGTCAGCAAGTACAGATGAGTACTTAACAAATGTTATGAGTACCTGTATGCACAAGAGTATACTCACCGCTTCTATAGTGCTGATGATGGACAAGGTGGCCAACATGGGTGCACTGTATGTGGTTTTCTCAATTTGATAACTTTCTTTAAAAATCTTGATGCTGTGGTTCCCTGAGAAGTTTTTCATTGCCTTCAGAGTGATTAATGGATTAGACAATTTTAATTTATTTTTATAGCATTTTTTTTATTTTGCAGTTTTTTTATTTATTCTGATTTGTTATATGTGACAGCGGAATGTAATACAATTTATATTATACACATAGAGCACAACTTTTCATATCTGGTAGTACACAAAGTAGAGTCACACCATTCATGTCTTCATACATGCACTTAGGGTAATGATGTCCATTAAAAACAGGCAGTGGAGCAGAGTTTGAACTCTCCTGCCTGATAGCTTTTGGGGAAACAGAACTTGACAACACAAGGGGTTCAATGTGAATAATGTACTAGGGCTGTGTCCTTATATTGTGCTGTACTCACTATACTTCCTCTTTGAACTCTAACTACATTTGCTGCATCTTGCCCCTTCTTCTGTTCCACACTATCCTATAATCAGGCTTCACATCACATAGTGAAACCTGGGCCAGTTACTTTACTCTTTTTGTGTCGTCAACTTTCAGTGTTTTATCAGAAGCAGACCCATGACCAGCTTTTCTCCCAGATAAGAGTTTAGAATTTCAGTATTCCAGAAGCAGACATTCTGTTTACATATTCTCCAAGTGCATATTGAGCAGTGTGCCGGGCACTCTGCTAGGTGCTGGAGATAAAAGGGTAGCCAAGACAAATATGATCTTGTCTTGTTTACAGGCAGTAAAATTATAAGTAGATTTTTAATACATGCTCCCGAGTTCTAATTCTAAATGTGTTATTTTTTTTTTCAGCACCAATTCTGAAAATTCTGACACCAAAATTCTATTAATTCTCTGGACACCAACTGAGAGTCCAACAATTTAATTCAATACTCTTAAGAACTTGAAGTTAGAGATGTAATGGTTTAAGTGTTTAGACCCACAAGGCTTCTCTCGTGTCAGATGGAAGGTTACAACCATGGTAGCACACTTCTGTCCAAGTTGGCTACACATTCAGGGGTCCCAACAACCCACCCAGTTTTGATAGTTTAGTAGAATAACTCACAGAACTGAGGAAAACACCTTATTTACATTTACTAATTTTTTTATAAAGGCTACAACTTGGTTGGGCATAAGCACTTAACAAAGATTCCATGCCTTCTCTGGGCCAGTACCTTTCTAACATGTCTGTGCCTTCACCAACCCAGAAGATCCTTAGGCCCCAGTATTTGGAGATGTTGATTAAATCTTTGGTCATTTGTGATTGAACTTGATCTCTAGCCTCTCTCACCTCCCCAGAAATTAGGAGGTGGGGCTGAAAATTCAAAATCTGTATTTATGGCTTGGTCTTTCTGGCAACCAACCATCATCCCAAAGCTATCCAGGGGCCTAGCCACCCATCATGTCATTAGCATACAAAAGAGACTCTTATCACTCAGGAGATTCCACAGGTTTTAAGTGCTCCCAGGAATGAAAATATATATATAATGCTAAACCAAACATGAGAGATTATAGAAGATTTTCTACAAGTGCTAGCCTTGAAGGAATAAAAGGAGGAAGCAAGAAAAATTTAGAAATAAAGGTAAGCAAGAAAAGTAGTACTGTAGGCAGTGGAACACTGTGTAGAACAAACAGCATCTCTACTCTGAAGCAGAATAGCACATAGAGCTAAAAGTCAAGCATAATGAATCTGTGGAGTGAAAGGGAGTAATAGGAGATGAGGCTAGATAGGTGAGCCAGACTATATTAGTTATTTTAATGTTTGCCCTAAAAGAATAGGAAGAAATGGAGGGGTTGTTTGTTTGTTTGTTTGTTTGTTTTTAACCCGAGGGTGCTTCACCACTGAGCTACATTCCTAGTCCTTTTTACTTTTTTATTTGAGACAGGGTCTTGCTACGTTCCTGACTAGCCTTGAACTTGCAGTTCTCCCTCCTTAGCATCTTGAGTCCCTGTACCACCACATCTGGCCATGGATGGGTTATTTTTGCTTTGTTTTATGTTTTTTGGTACCAGGGATTGAACTCAGGGGCCCTCACCACTGAGCCACATCCCCATTACTATTTGGTATTTTATTTAGAGACAGGGTCTCACTGAGTTGCTTAGCACCTTGCTTTTGCCGAGGCTGGCTTTAAACTTGCAATCCTCCTGCCACAGCCTCCCAAGCTGCTGGGATTACAGACATGTGCTCCACACCCAGCTCAGGGATGGGTTTTAAGGAAGAAATTATATGAACTGATCAGAAGAGCGTTTTTTTTTTTTTTTTTCCCTTCTTCCAAACAGTATTTCAAAAAGAACACTCTAACTGCAATGCAGAAAATAAATTAAAATGGAAGCAAGAGTCAAACACAGCAACACAAGCCTGAAATCCCAGCAATCCAGGAGACTGGGGCAGGAGGCTCACAAGATGGATAATAGTTTATGAGACTGTGTCTCAAAAATTTCTTTAAAGGTGAGGAGGTCCTTGGCTGGACATGGTGGTGCATGCCTATAATCCAGCCACTCAGGAGGCTGAGGCAGGAGGATGAAGAATTCAAAGCCAGCCTCAGCAACTTAGTGAGCCTCAAGCAACATAGTGAGACCCTGTCTCATATCAAAAAGGGCTGGGGATGTGGCTCACTGGTTAAACCATCCTGGGTTCAATCCAGGTAGCCTCACACCCCCAAAAAGAGGAGGATGTCCTGAGAATGTATCTCAATGGTAAAACATCCCTAAGTTCAATCTCCAGTACAAAAAAAAAAAAAAAATTGAAGCAAGAATGGATATAAAGAGACCAATAGATTGTTGAAGAGAGAGATGTGGTAATTTGTACTAAAATGGTAGAACTGGAGTTGGAGAAGAAAATACTTATTTGAGATGTGTTTGAGATGAGCACAAACATCAAAATAATTAATGTGGTTCTTGCTCACTTCACTAGCCTCATCTCTACCACTCCCACCCTCTAGATTGAATCATACTCAACTTCTAGTTCCATCCAAAAGAGGATTTGCAACAGAGATGCTGTATGTAAGAAGTAGAATTATCATAACTTGATAAGTAAATTTGTAAAATAGAGTGGGAAAGACAGAAGGAGGATTCAAAAATTACATGCAGGTCTCTTAATTGAACAACAGCACAAGTTGGTGGTACTACTTACTAACAGAACAATAAACAACAGATTTAGAAATAAGATAATTCATTGCTGAAATTAGAGATGACTACAAGACATACAGGCAAAGATGTTTGGTATGGTTTCCATGCTAAAAACTTCACTAACTAGTCATGTAAAACACTTTCTTGTTTGTATTCAGAAAAGACAGGACTTGGGCTGGGGTTGTAGCTCAGTGGCAGAGTGCTTGCCTAGCACATGGGGGCCCTAGGTTTGATCCTCAGCACCACATAAAAATAAATGGAATAAAAGTATTAAAAAAGAAAAGACAAGACATGATTTCCATCATTTTCTAGACTGAATCTAATGCAAATGAGTGAACTTTTTTATGCACATGCTTCAGGCATTACATCTTGGGGCTCTTTAGTATTTTTCCTCTTTTTATATCCCATCATAACCAACCTAAGATTACATGAATCGTCTTGCCTGGATATTATCAATTAGATATACTTTCATTCTTTATAGACAGTATTTAGCACTAAAATAGACTTTTCTCCTTTAAAAAATTTATAAATGGGAAAATTCACTTGTGAAGATTGACAACCACCTCCACAGTCAAAATATAGAGCAATGTTAGCCAGACATGGTGTCACATTCCTGTAATTCCAGAGGCTTGGTAGGCTAAGGCAGGAGGATCACATGTTCAAAGCCAGCCTCAGCAACTTAGTGAGGCCTTAAACAACTTAGTGGGACCCTGTCTCTAAATAAAACACTTAAAAAGGGCTGGGGATGTGGCTCAGTGGTCAAGTGCCCCTGGGTTCAATCCCTGATACAAAAAAAAAAAAAGATATAAAGCAATGTTAATTCCTCCCTTCAAAAGTCTCATATTTCTTGGTAGTCAACCTTTCCTGGTTGGCCCTCAACTCCAGGCAATCACTATAACCCCATTCTTACATAGGATATGAAATATGTATGGAGATTCCTTCTTTTGTGTGCAGATATCTGTTGACTTGCTTTTACATTTTAGATAAAGTCAGTCTACTGTGTATGTGTGGGTCTATTTCTGAATCTTATGTTTTGTTTCATTCTGGTCTGTGTGTCCTTTCTCTAGTAATGTAGCTTTCTAGTAAATCTGGTTATCAGGTAGTATTCGTCTTCCAACTTTCTTCTAACCTTTGACCATTCTACTCCTTTGCCTTTCATTGTAAGTTCTGAAGTTAGCATGTTGGTTTCCAAAAATATATATATATATATTTTCTTAAGTTTTTTTGAGATTAGGTTGAATCTGTAGATCAACTTGGAAAAAGTTGATACCTTAACAATATTGAGTCTTCTAGTTCATGAACATGGTATATCTTTCAAATTCTAAAATTTTTTTTTATTTATTTCATCAGTGTTCTGTAGTTTGTATGCATTTAATTTAGTTTGTATACATTTTATATGCATTTAATTACTTTTGGTGCTAGTACATATTTTACTGTTTAACATTTCAGTTTCTAATTGTTTATTGCTAGTATA